CCCAGGTCCAAGCATGCCGAATCCCTTTGACCTTGTGACAGTGGACACGTTCCACAAAGGACTCTGCCATGCGGGCATCGAAAATGCAACTGTGTCCAGGATCTCGCTTGTTCCTGTCAGGCCCCCTTCCTGTGGCAGTCGACCCAAGAAAGGAACATGATGATGATGATGATGATGATGATGACGATGATGATGATCACCGGGATCATATATACTATAACCCCCTGAAAAAGAGCATTTGGGTGATGTGGATTGGGGAGAGACTCCGGGCTTCTGCAGTCTGGAGGTATTTGGAGGACTCATCACACCACTTAGGGGCTGAGGGTTTACGCTTTAGGGGCTGCGGTTTTGGGTTTCGACTCACACGCTCTTACTAAGGCAGGCATGGCTTCGAACGAGTCTGGCTTGCTACTTTGACATCTAGAGCGAGGCACGGACACCGTGAGCTTCTATCAGACAGGCTAAGGCGGGGTAATACACCCCATAGGTACCACAAATACATAACTAATTAAGGTCAACGCGGAACACTTTGCCCATCAGTGTTACAGTAAACTCGTCTGTTTCAAAACGTTCACTCATAGCGTCCCAGACTGATCTTGCAGGCCTGGTGTCTTCAGACCGTCAGGAGTTTTCGTTCACTGGCGGTGGGTCGGGGTGACGGTTTAGGGTTTAGGTTTTGCCTGGCCCAGAAAAAAGGCAAACCTTGTCAATTGCGCTGGGTTTTTATAAACCTTAAAAATTAATTACCTACTCAACTCAGCTACTAAGACCAACGAGCAATTTCGAAAACTTTGGATGGATGGCTTCCGGCTGGGAACTGGCAGAGTCCCACTACAAAATGAGCCTCATACAACCCCCATTAACACAACGCCTGTAAATCTCTAGGAGGTCCTTTGTTACTTTTCCTGGGTCTCGGCTGAATTTCAACGGGTCAAGCCTTGGCTGATGTCAAGCAAACACGGTCGAAACAAATCATGTTAGAAGCTCGAACACTCCTTGCAGTCTCAACAGTGGTCTGCTGAGCTTCTCGGAAAGCGGTGGACCGTTAAACCGGTGGACACGTGGCACATGAACAAAAAAAACACATGCCTTCTCTATCTGCTTACCTGTGCATGTATGCATGATGTAAAGCGATCAACTGAGACAAGCTACATCGGTGCACACAGACTCGTGCAGATATGAATATGTGTGTGCATCGATATGTCCGCGTCGACACACGAATGCTTGTTCGGGTCTTGATGCTGAACTTATCTCTAAGCCCTAGTAGGCCCTAAACGGATCTGCGAGTGCGGACAGGAGGCCGACACCAGAAAGCACCGCGCAGCTGAGGAGTCAGGGCTTGGCGAAAGCCGCGAGCCCAAAACAGAAGAGCCCTTCGGCTGTAGACCTATTCATGCTTTGTGTATGCATGCGTGTATGCACACATGTATACCTGCAGGCATATGGTTCCATTCACTTTGGCATATATGTATACGCATGAAAGACTCTGTGTATATATATATATATACACACACATACTTTTGCATTTATTTATTTGTACATGTATTGTGTAGGTATGCGTGCTTGCATGTACGTGTGTGTATATATATATATACATACAGTACACCCCAAAACCGGTTCGTGCACGAAGACCTGAACCTCTGACAGAATCCTACCTGAATCCGGCTCACAGAGAAGAGTCCTGGCTTCAGTTCCCCGCGACCACTTCTTAGGCCCCCAAAGAATCCCAAGTCTGACACGAGCTAAATTAAAGTAGAGGCCTTAATAATTAGAATGCGGTTTTGGGGTCCACTATATATATATCTATTTATTTATTTATTTATTTATATATTAGGGAACCCCCTCAAAATAGTCTTGGTTGTTATTTACATTAGTGTGCTGAGTTCGGGACGACTAAAGCATCGTGGCCTCAAGCCATAGCTGAGCTTCCTCAACCGTCAACCCTGAATGCTGCCGTAACCCAGAACCCTCCGGCTCTTTCTCCCGTTGCCCAGATCCGCAGAGGGATCGGACGCTGCGTTCATTGCTCTACGGAGTCCTGGTAACCCGGAGGGTTCGGGATATTTGTTTTTTGCTTGATTCGGCGCGAACTACTTTCTTTTTGTGGTTAAGGGTGGAGAATTGTATGCTTAGGCCTTAGGCGGCTCTCTGGAGCAAATCAAGCGCGGATTAGAAACCAACACAAGCTCTAATTGGGCTCAGCAATGTCACGTAAAAACTATACTCTGTCTCACATTGATATAACGAGCGGGACCCGTGAGCAAGGGCTCGAATAGCAGGACTTCTGCTTCTACTAAGATCCATTCGCGTAGTTTCTGCAGCACTGTCACTCTCAGTTCCCAAGTGCCAAAAAAGCCAAGCTTTCATTATAGGATTTTCAAATCAAGAGCCGAAACCTCAGCGGCGTGACAGGGACTCCATCTTCATTCCCAGAGCTCTCCTGTCCTCTGAGCAGAAGCATGCTCTGCTTCAGGGAATCGAACCCTAAACCCTAAACCCTAAATATCCCTAAACCCTAAACCCTAAATATCCCTAAACCCTAAAACCCTATATATCCCTAAACCCTAAACCCTAAACCCTAAATATCCCTAAACCCTAAACCCTGAATATCCCTAAAACCTAAATGTCCGGTACAGGTTCGGCTCAGGCTAAGCCTCGAGGTCTCGATTTCAGGCCCTGCAATCGCAGGGAACTTGGAGTCTTCTGGATGTGGACTTAGACCGGGCTTGTGAGGCTTGTCATTCGTTATCATGCTATGTATATATATATATATATACACAAATACATATAAATACATATACAGTATACGCCCGTCATAGATTTTGGCATACCACTATTCTGTGTTGCTCTTTTTCCCCAGGTTCTGCTCATACTTCTGTGCTTTATCACTTGCATGGGGTGGCGCGAGCCTGTCCCCCTTCAACTCCTCCGACTTCCAGCAATAGATGTTCGGAGATTTGAGCCTCTTATGTCTTTGAGATTGCAGCCGCAAGCTGAGCCGTAAGCTCCACGACCTAGATGTGAGGAGGGGCTAAACGAGACTTACAGTTCACCCTACCAGTGTTCGGAGGCTGTTTTTGCCTTGGCACCGTGGCGAAGACAATACAGACCTTCCAGATGCTTCCCGGTAACATTATGGCATACCGAAGATGCCCTTGACACGGCTCTGGAGAATGTGTTCCCAGCGGTGATTCCACCCGGGTCCTACTCATAGAGCACGGACCGTTTGAGCAAGGCCCTTGAGGTGTTTCTTCCTAAGCCCAAGTCCGTACCATGAAGATCTTTTAAAGGAAAGCTGAAGACAGCCAGCGAATCAAACATCTTACCAAGCTGCTCCTTCACTCGGCAGCGTGGAGTTCTATCCTAGTGATACTGCTGCTGTTGCTGTTGTCGCGGCAGTTGTAGCAGCAGTCGTCGTCGCAGTAGTCGTGGTCGACCTCGTAGTCGTAGTCGTCGTAAGAGTCGTGGTCGTCGTAGTAGTAGCAGTAGCGAAAGCAGCAGCCGCAGTAGGAGTAGCAGGAGTAGCAGTAGCAGTCGGCGTCGTCGTGGTCGTAGTAGTAGTAGTAGTAGTAGTAGTAGTAGTAGTAACAGTAGTAGTAACAGTAGCAGTAGCAGTAGCAGTAGCAGTAGCAGTAGCAGTAGCAGTAGCAGTAGCAGTAGCAGTAGCAGTAGCAGCAGTAGTAGTAGTAGTAGTAGTAGCAGTGAAAGAAGAAGCGGTAGTACTAGCAGCAATGCTCGCAAGACTGCGGGTGTAGTCGCTCGTTTTCATGGATTTCTAAGCGTCTGGTTGCTCGCCGTTGTTCTTACAGGCAACAAATATTGGTCCGTGGCAACGGAGGCCTAAGCCCCGAGTGCATAGTATCGTTGGACGCTGCTCATCCGGTCTGCTGTGTGAGACCATGAAAGGACTGCACTATGATAGGCGGCAGCACGATCTACAAATCCGGTTCAGTTTGAGGCTGCAGAAGCAACGGTCGCACATGCATCAAAGGATTGCAGCAACCATAATCATGAGAGACAAGGCGGCTTTCGTCACATCGGTTACCCTTATCGCGTGAATCCAGAGACTACCAGCGGGTCAGGGCGGAAATGCCACGGCATAGGACCTCGCGATCTCAGAAACTTGATCCTTGCAGCGCTGGATACCTGCCTACCGCCATCCGGCCGGAACCTCGACATGCATGCCAAAACATCTGTGCCGCACCGTGCAGTCACTTGAAGTTGTTGAAGTCCTTAGTCAAGCTCATTATGCTCATTCATCTCTGAAGTTTGAATCATTTTTGGCCGGTCCATGCCGGTCCAACAGATACGCAATGTCATGCGACCAGAACTATGCATGCTAAGCGAAAAGGGTATGGGGAGCCGGTGGCTATATCTAGACTACAGATCGGCAGTGCGTTGAGAGCACGGGGTGGCTTCTCCTCCCTAGGTTGGCGCACACTCTTGACTTATTGTCTTGGCCGGGCTCCGTGTTCTTCCTTGTGCGGGGTACGATTTCCAGAATAGTGTTGCCGTGCATGTTTCAAGAGGACAAGGCGAAAGCAAGTCACTGTTAACCCAGCCTCGCGAAACCCAACAAACTTGGGTCACAGTCACGGATGACCGTCTTATATAGCCTGCTGACTTCGGTCTGAAGGATTAAAGTGCCTTGCGCCAAGTGTCGATGAAATTTCCCGCGCCCCAAACGCTGGCTTTCGCAGCTGCCTGTGCTTCCTGGATGTACCTGAGATGAAGGCGCTTTGAAGGTTTACTCCATTCTCAGCTCCTGAGGCTGCTGGCTGCGTGAAGGGCTGCAGCGATGTCGGAAGGGATTGGGATAGCAGAGATCCAGAGATATTTTGAAGTGAGTCCTCTGAGAAAATCCTCTGTACTTGTACAAAACCTCCAGGGTCTAGACTCTAGCTGTGTCCAGAAAACCATCCCTGCACCCTCTATACGCGAAACTTCGTTGCATCTGGAGGACTGCCATGCTTCTTTCTCGTCGCTGGTGCTTTCTTCAACCACTTCTCGGCCCCACTCGTCCTCACGAGGCTTTTCTGCTGCTCGGCAGCAGGACAAAGGGTTGCAGCGCTCACACTCACTCGTCCTGAGTTTCGTTTTCGGCATCGCATTGCGCAGAGATACTGCCCGCGGCACTCTGCGTGGTGATACATGCCCATGGCAGACTTCTGCACAACAGACTGAGGGACAGGCTGATCCCACTCTCTCGTGTCTACAGTCGTTGCAATTTACCCATGCACTGCTTTTCGAAACATCAACTCCGCACGCAAATCGAGACAAAAGCTCCTTTTCCGGCTTTGCTGAAGAAATACTAAGCCTGCCTCTGCCTCTGTCGCTCGTTGGCTCGCTCGCTCTCTGTCTCTCTCTCTCTCTCTATCTCACTCTCTATCGCTCTCCCTCTCTCCCCCCCCGTGAAGTGGGTGTTACACCCATCCTTGCACTTAGGATCCCTGAAAACCGCGGCTGCGGCAAAGTCCGAAAGGGTCCTTCGTTGGCCCCGAGGGCTTCTTCGGCTTCTCTGGGGGGCTGCGCATGGGCGGAGGCTTCTTGGCCTCAGCGCGCCGGACTTCTCTTACAGCTACTAAGTGCCTAAAGCCTGTGCCCCGACTCGCTTGGAGTCCGTCCCTGAAATGTGCTATCACTATCAGCCGAAGAGAGCCTGAGCCAAGCGGCTTGTTCTTGTCCTACCTATACTGATCACAACCATTAACCAAAACAATGGGACTGCTCTTGCGGCACATTGAACGACCGTATCTTAGGTGTTGCTACTCTACCGTTGTCTGCCGATGTCTGCCCACTCCGGCACAAATGATTCGGAGCTGCTGCTGCGAGACGACGAGGTATGCCTGCATCATTTTCCTTCTTGATACGGCTGACATGACCCTTACAGGATAGGCTGCCATGAAGTGCCCTGACGCCTCTTTGCATGCGGCTGTGTCAGCCCTGGAAGCCGCGCAACAGTTTGAAGCTTTGACCTTCTCTCGACCCCGCTACGACATGACCTGCCGAAAAAACAATCATCTCCGAGTTTCTTGGAAAGTCCAGGCTTGAACTTTGAGAAACCGTAGCCCGTGAGTGCCAAGCACCCTGGAGTCCTAACAACTCTTGCATGCTCTTGCGCAGTCATCTGAACCTTCGACACAAACCAGAGAGCTCTAAGCGCCTTGCATGACTTCAGGGACTGCGGCTAGGCGCTCGAAACTCCCGGACCCTAGGGTGATGGGTTTCTGTGCGAATATAGTCGGAGAATGTGGGGCCTCGGATCTCAATCTCCCAGGTTCCTTGCCGGCTCTGCAGGCGGCGGTGGCTGATCCTCTTGCAAAATGCTTCGCATGTTCGGGTGGTTTGGAATGCTTTCATGGACTAGCTAGGGTTTGGGGGCCAAAGTTTGGGGTTTAGGGTTCGAAGAGTACACGATTCCTACGATCGGGAGCTGAGGTTGCCAACGTTGACCATATGTGGATTCAGGGTCCGTGTCGACTTGATGCTTCCAGGGAGAGACAGTGGGCTTGAATGCTAACGTGCGCCCAGGGCATGAAGCACTGGAAGAGTAATTACTTCTTACGTACTTGCACTTTGGGCTATAGATGTATATGTCATGCCTGTAGGAATTAGATGCCCTGCACCCTTAATTCTCCCTGCTGCTGCGGCAGGCCTACGCACCAGTTGTATGTGCCTTGATTAGGGGTTCCTCATACTTCGTGCCTTTTCTGATGTTGAGAACATTCCTTCGTTAAGGGATCTGGGATACTCTGAAAAGATGTGATGTGGGATTCGGAGGGTTTGTAGAATGCCTCTCGGGGATATGTCGGCTTATGGATGGATGTCGTTAGGGGCTGCTTGAAACGTTACTATAAGGGGTCCTTGAAGGGCTCCTCTGAGGGTTCCTTGAATAGGGCTTAGAAGGCTCAGGGTTTAGAGCTTCTAGGGTGTAGAGGCTTACGAGGTTTATCGAATCTAGAATAGAATTTGACCGAATTGGCTTGGCAGTTGGGGCTTTTCCGGTTTTGGGTTTCGATGCGATGTCCTCTTCCGGCGGTGGAGGTGCACTGGTCGACTCGTCCTTGAGGCACAGCCAACATGACCATATATGTTCGTCTTCTTAGGCATTGTTGCTCAAACAGTGGTATCAGGGATTAGTTGATGCAATCAAGGACACAGGCAAAGCGCGACCAGCTAGCAGCTAGGCATCAAACAAAACAGCAGGTCAGACAAAAGGAGACACGCACACACACACACAGAGACCATGATTAGGAAACCATATCTGGGATGAAGGGTTCCTACTCTGCTAAAATTAGCTAGGTGAGGAGACTCAGACTCACAGGAAGGTGCAGCAGGCCTCTGCCTCGTTTGCCCCATTCAAACCTAAACGCGTGCCAAACGCGCCAGGGAGACATGTAAAGCAACCCCCGCTGCTTGCATTTATGCATGGGGCCGTCTGCTGGGCATGACCAACAGCCCTCGCCACATGGCTCTCCGACCTACACGATCCTACACACCCCATCGCTTCGGGTCCTTCTGTCCTCGCATGGCCGAACAAGGCGGCAAAAGCTCGAACACTAGAGCAAGCCACAAGGGTAACTGCAACAGCAGCAGCTCACATCCTCTCAAAACCACTTTTGAACACGCCAACCCTGAAGCCCTTCAAAAGCCAGCCTCCTCTGCTTTCCGCCGCTTGGTTGCAGGTTGAGGATCAGACCTGCTCAGTCACACCAGTCTGTTTCCGCCCTGTGGAGGGCCCTGCGGAGATTGAGGCTGCGGCTTGGTCTGTTCCGACTCCTTGCTGAGGGGATTCATGCGCATAGCAGCACTAGCAGCTCACTGGCAGTAGCAGTACCGAAGAAGTGACAGCGGCAGTGACAGCAGTAGCATGCGACGAACTGCTACTTGTAGTCGTAGTAGTAGTAGTAGTAGTAGTAGTCGTCGTAGTAGTAGTAGTAGTCGTAGTAGTAGTAGTAGTAGTAGCAGTTGCAGTAGCAGTAGTAACAGTAGTAACAGTATTAATAGTAATAGCAGTAGCAGTAGTAATAGTGTAGTAGTAGTCGTAATCGTAATCGTAGTAGTAGTAGTAGTAGTAGTAGTAAATAGTACGTAGTAGTAGTAGTAGTAGTAGTAGGAGGCGCCCCCCCCCTACCAACTACACTTGCTTCTTGATTTTGGACTTGCTTCTGGGGGGTGGGGGGGGCGGGGGTGGGGGGGGGGGATGATGATGACGACAGTGTTACGCAAACACAACCCAAAATATCAACAAGATGATCCCTACATGACGAAGGTACTGTCAATACCGAGTCAGATGGATAGTGCCTGAACATGTTTAAGAGCAAGCAACTGTTGGATGATGATTTTTAGGTAGTAGTAGTAGTAGTAGTA